GAATTAGCTGGCGTAAGGCCGTAAACTCTGCTTAGGAAATGACGCAGTGTCGGTGAACGTGCTACTAAATCATGCTGTCATTGATGAGGTTATTGAGTCCGCATTCAATAGATACCAGGCTCCAGAACAATGTTAGCTTTTTTGCGAGCATTAATGGAGCCATCACTAGTTGCGATTTTCTGTCGACGTACGTGCAGATCACGTGCCAATATTTATTGTACTGCCTTTTTAACCAGAAAAGGTGGCCTAGTCCACGGCGACGTAGAACGGTTCTGTTGTTTCAACAGTCCGTGCTTGGTCGGGGATCGCGGGCGTCCTCCTCTTCTTCGGCGGCCCGACACCTGCAGCCCAGTCGGCGGTCTCCTGCAAGGGAAAAAAAGTTTAAATAGTCCCTAAAGTCATAAGCGGGGCTGCTGACATCACGTGGGAGTTGTTGTCCTCATGATTTGATCTCAAAATTATGAAGGCCAATTCTAAGCATTTGCTCTGGAACTGATGAACAGTTTGCGACAAAAAGGAGTGTAAATCGGTAACAACGAATGAGGGTCAGAACTTTTCAAGGACTCGTGTAATGTGCGCCGCTTACGAGCGATGGATGGGCGACTAGTAGGTTTAACACGCAGAAAGAAGCTTTGGCCCTCAACGGGAATAACCTCACGTGAAATAAAGGTGCGTCAGTTTTTTTCATGTCATTGAGTAGTGAGTGAAATAGAAGGTTCCGTGATATCAATTATAATGTTGCAGACATCAAATAAGGCTATGTATAGACTAATAAATGCACAGCCAAGCAGTATCTGATAGGGAACCACAGGAAAATGGTACTTGGTTACATCATCGTTTTAAATAAAGCTGAAAACTTATCATAAAATCGAATAGACATTAAACGTCACTTGCAACCAAAAACTTATTTATTTACCGACGCGAGCTTAGTAAACTAGGTTGCTTTTGGCAACCCCAATGACACGCAAGTACGACCATTTTCTTTCACCTAGCCGAAATGTCTTTGAAAAATCCTGTAATTTGAAATTAGATTATTCACAAATATAAGAATATCGCCGTGAAGCATAAAGAGGTCATAAATTAAAGTCAGGCAAAAGGGTGACATAAACTCATTCACGAAACAGTATATTCGAGGTCCACAAGAATAATTTGAAAGGACAAACACTACCTGATCATGGGGTTCTACCTCAAGCATTTTAAGACGACGTTTATGCGGTTTCTGTTTATTGTGCACTTCCAGGGCACCAGCACTGCAAAAATATTTGTCACAGGGAAGACAGTAATGTTGACCTAGAGCTGGTTTATCTTCGTCAACTTTCGTCGCTTCTTGAAGATATTTCGCAACATTTTCCGGTTTTTTATTCTCGAAAATCTACTGAAAAAAATAAATTGCTACTCAAAATGCCTGATCAATGTCACTCTGTCTGTATTTCGATTTCAATTTGGACTTTCGAGGCATGACCTGGAACAGTTGCGGTGAGGTG